GCTGCCATAAAGGGACATGGAAAATCTGATGGGTTTCCTTCATAGCAAGCATACTCCAGTCAAAGCAAGACCCATGTCACCTCAGCTGTGCAAGGACCAGCCGCCCCCAGGTTCTCATACCAGAGCAAAGCATCACCTCCCCTCCCAAGGTCTCTGGACATGCTGTGAAGGAATTGACATTTCTACCTCAAGGAAACCTTCTGTGACCTTACAGAAACTGCACCCATTGATGCAAAAGGGGAATCTAACTTCATGCCTCTTTTGGGAAAGGATATACCTCAACCCAAATTCTTGAAATATTTGGGTTCTGAGCCAAGGGTGTAACCAACTGAGAGCACAAACAAGCTGGAATTTGTACTTAGCAGGTTTGTATGTGCCCTTTCACACTAATTTAGGCCCCAAAATTATATCGCCTTTCTCGCAATAGTAAAGGCTGCAGCAATTTCCCACAGCATCAAATAAGCCTTTGCTGGAGCTGCAGTGAACTCTTCACTAATATGGAGCAGTTGCTGAACCTACAGCTTTTAGAGGAGATGAGAAACTAGGTGTGGAGTTGAACCACAGAAGATCCTAAGAGAAAATAACAGCACTTGTGGTTAAGGAGGAACAACCTAGGAGTCTGCCACTAATTTTCTTCCCCTCCCTGCTGCTTGTAGGCTGATTTTCCCCTTCCCTTTCTTACAAGTTGTTTGGCCTTAAATACAACCCTTCAAACTTAATCCTGCACAGAGGTGACTTAATGGCAAAACAGGAAAAGCGGCTATGATAACCCCTGAAGCAAACTCCTGCACAGAGTGAGGAAAGCACACTCAGCTACTCAAAGTAATCTAGACCAGCCTGGCAGTGGCTGGAAAGAACACGAAGGGTGTGTGTTTCTGTGCAGGGAAAAGAACTGATGGTTTCACTCCACTTTGTCCCAAAGCTTCAGTGTCCCGCACAGACAACATCCTCATTCAAAATACTTGCATTTAATTCAGAAGACTGATGTCCAAATGAATACTGCAACTAAATAACCTTAAAAGCAGCCCTGGAGCAAGAGGAGAAGGACAAACACCTTGGCTGTGCCAAAGTTCTCCAATGAATATAAACTAAACTCCAACTCCCTGGACAGCCCACTCAGCAGTTTTCATCAGGCAATTATTCTTCGGGGGTTTTTTATCTTTTTTTTTTCTTTCAGAGATTAAGAATATTTAAATAAAGGTCTAAAACCATCTTTTTCAAAATGGCTGAAAGCAGACAGCCAACAAGCCCCACCAGTTGGGAAGTCTCTGCAGCCAAGGTCAGCTGTTTGGGTGGCCATGAGGTGACACTAGGCTCTGGGAGACACAGGGGGCTGGCAGGACCTGAAGGGTTAGCCTAAAAAAAAAAATCCAGAACAAAGATGGAAGTATTTTTGATTATCAAGCTAAAAGAAAAATTCTTTTAATCAACAGAAAAGGGGCAGTTCTGTTCCAGAAACAATATGGGCTGCCTGTTTTTCACATTTATCTTTCAACTCAAATTTCAAGGCAGCCTGTAAAATTGATTAAAATTCATGACTTTTGCTAGCAGCAATACCACTGCACTCTGATCCATCACACATAACCCTGATAGCACTGCTTCTCCTGGCACATGAAAACAGGAAAGCAGTTCCTCTTCCCAGAGTTCTGTGGCTTACATGGGTGCTGCCCATCCTGCCTTTATGCAGTCAGGTCTGCCTGACTTCTTTCTGTGCAGGTGCATGTAAAACACCGATCTCTGAACCAATCACTGATGTATTTTTGAGTACCAGTAACCAAGCGCATGCATTAATCAACTACTTGATTCAGGAAGTAAGGGGAGAAGAGGGAACTTAGCATATGTCCAAACAAAGTGATTCTGTGGAGGCAAAACCAATTTACAATTTCACCTCCACTGGTGGCACATTTATTCTGTTCGTAAAGCGTAAAGCTATGAAAAGGGAAGAAAAAAGGGAGGTTTTTTACTATCCACTCTTCATACACAATCATCTCTCCAGTCTAGAGCCGGGTTACAGCGAGTGGTAGTAGATGCAGCTGCACTGAAGTCAGTGGAGCCGTGTTGATTTACTCCATATGCTGAGGCTGCCTGCATGTTCCAGGCATGCAGTCTGTAGTAACTCATGGGTTTATGTCTTCTTGAGTACTCCTCAGCATTTCAAAGCACACAATAAGTTTCCATGAAAAAAAAAAAGAAAAGAAAAAGTCTGCTCTGGGTCAGTGAGCAATTACCTTTGCATGGCAGCAAGTGATTGCATACACCAGATGATGTCAGGTATTTCCAGACAGGCTAAATCCTGCTGGGACCAGCAATGCAGTAAGTGGCATCATCACCTCAGAGTTTGTTTCAAACCACAGACCAGGAAAATCAACACTGATATAACACTAGTCATATGACAAGATAGGCGAAAAGATATGAAAATAATACACCACGAATTTGTGGTCCCTTGTTGTCTTGCCCTCCAAAGACAGGGCTACTAACCAAGGAACCTGAGACACCTGTAAGTTCAGCTAAGTACATGCCACCTACACAGCTGGCTTCCTTTTCCTTTGCTATTTCTTTCCTGTATAGGTAAGAAGCCAAAAAAAAAAACAGGGAAGCACAGCAAGCTCTCAATACTGGACAAAAAGACAGGTAATGTTGCATTAAACGAGTGAGAACCTTCAGGTTTTTAATTGCTTTCTATCAACTCAGGAGCATTCCATGCCAGAAGGGAGTAACAGGATGGATTCAATAAAATGTAATTCTACAGTCTCTAGACTGCAAAAAAATGCAGAAGTTAGTACCCCAAATCCCCCTTCTCAAGGGATTTAATGTGCACAATGCAGATAAGACTATTTTTAGATTTGGTTCCTGTAGATCACTCAGAGATTTTAACAATCAGTACACCAACAGTGTCTCAGGCAGGGCAGGATTTGAGCTGATGAGTATATGCAGTGGCTCCCGGCACAGATGTGAAGAATCAGCTGCAACCTCCCAGTTATGACTTATTTTAAGCACAGGCTTTGGCTTGGATGGAGAAGGTGCACAGAGCAAAAATATCCCTAGTTCAGCTTTGATTGATCCAAATTTATTAAAAACAGAGACTCTAAAACTTACTATTTCCCTCTTCGGCTTGCAGGGGATGGAGTAGGTCTTGGTGAAAGCCTTGGACCTTGTACACCAGCTAAGAAACTGGGCACCTAGACTTACTGCCACCAAATGATGACACAACATGACAAATCCTATTATCACTGATTTTAAGAAATAAACAGATTTTACCGGCTGATCATGTATCTATTAGTATCAATTACCAAACCAAAACATTTTACCAGCAAAACACCCACCAACACTTTCTGCATTTGCCAGTCTTTGAAAGGTAGTGCCAAGTCTCCTTGGCACAGTTTTAAGTCCCCTCAGACACTGCATCATCATCTATTCAAGCAGGATCTAAAAAAATCACTGAAATACTGGCTTGGGAACATTTCCCACTCGCAGGCTCAGAAGGAAGGACCACCCAGCTACTCCTGCTGCTTTGATCTCACCCTGGCACCAGCGTTGGTAAAACCCCAGCCCATATAAAACGCTATCCTTAAACAGCGGGTAAGACTTGTTCTTCTCTACAGGAGAGAAACCATGAAAATGTTAATAATCCTTAAAACCAAGGGAAAATTGTTTTACACTTGAAACAGAGCTGGAAAGCTACCTCTTGCAGAGCTCAACCACAGGCTGGAAAATGCAGCTGGTGGCTGGTATCAAGGGGTGCTTAACACTCTTCGCATCAGAGCTACAAAGGGATGGATACGTTCACTTCCTTTGGAGACTATTTTGAATTATTCAGCCAAATCCCATTTCTCCCCTACACAGCTGAACTGATCGTTGTGATCAAAAAAAATCTGATAAACTCACTGAGTTTATTCCAGGTTCCTTGGCATGTGTGTGAAGTGTCAGACTTGGAAATTGTGTCTTAGGCTAAGACAGTCATTTTTTCATTTTTATATATATATTTAAGTGTGTGCATGTATAAATATAAAGGTTTATAGACTTGACA